AAGNGAAACTGAGTCTTCGCTCGATTCAGTTTNTAGGCTTTCCGCTGGAACTCCCGGATAAGCGTTGATGACATAAAGTCCATTCGTGAGTTCCGCTCTCACAGACATGCCATCCTTTTTCAATTCAATTGCATGGGGCTTGATCTTAATGTCGAAATGACTGCTGGCCAGTTTACTGAGCGACACTAGTCGCCTTCCCATGCTCGGGACATAGAGTACGTTTTCGAGAGTAATGGTGGAACTTGCCTTCCCGTCGAGAACCGTGAGGCTGACAGTGCCAGTGCCTTTGACCTGAAGAGTCCTAGCACCGCCAAGCCTAACGTTCCGGATGTCCTCTTCGTTCTTGAAGTTCGTAAACCATTTGCGATTGTTGACCACGTGATGGGTTGAACCGCTGTCAAGCACCCACTCTTGACCTTCTCGTCTGAAGCGGGAGTCTAGATCTCCCTTCTTCACTGTTTGTGCACAATAACACTCACAAGAAAACCATCACTTTTGGTGAATCGCAAAGCTGGTCCTGACGTAGTCCATCTGATTCCTCATCGAAAATTGGGAGAAAAAACGGAGTCTCCCGTGCTGACCGCCACAGGAGCGGCAAACAGGAGAAAGCTTTGACTTCAATATGGAGGGATATGGGGCAAGTTTCTCAATATGAGCCGATAAGATCCAGGAAGAGATCTTTTGCATGCATGATTATCCCACGAGCTGGAAAAGCATAGGGAGACCCCAAAATAATGATGATCGTCGATCACTTCATAGTTTTCATTCGAGTTAATCCTCGATGATCATGACTAGGGCTAGGCGTTTGTGGCGGACTTTTTTCGGGAATATCGCGGACCTGTGGCGGATCTCCCCTGCAAAAATCGCGGACTTATGGCGGATGCTCTGTCGACGAATCGCGCTAGCTCGGGAAAAAGACAAGGTCAGCTCCGTGGCTCCAAACAAGCAAAACGAAAGCTCATGTTTATGTTTGTCTGCTGTCGTCAATTACCTTATGCTACCTAGGAGGCTTGAAGCTAGGACCAGAACTCACATTTCGTCACTGTTATGATTGAGCATATTGTACATGCTGAGATTCTTACTTTTTATACTACGTCTATCATCTCGTAGAACACTCGCGTATTTGCTGAAAGATCTCTCAGCCGAAACACTGTTGACGGGTACACTCAGACAAGTTAGAGCGATCTTCGCCAATTCGGGAAAACGAGCCGTCGCATTCATCCAGAAAACTATCGGATGAGACGAAGCCTCGAGTTCTCTCTTGGCCGACAAGTATAGTCGGAGTTCAGCCTTCCCCGGATCGTTTTCCTCGAACCACGGTATATTTTCGATGACATAGCCGGCTTCGATCTCGATTGTTTTCAACCTCGCGGGGTCGAATACGCGACAGGCGCGGAAGAAGTCCGCAGCCGGTTGCCTGAACTTGTGAGCGGGGTTACCCGAGAGATAGTTTCTTAGCTTCTCCGAAGATCTTTCTAGAGCGAGGTTCGTCATCTCAAGATTTTCCCCATGTGTTCGAGATACATTGAGCCACTCGATGAGCAGCGCCAACTCGTCGGTAACGAGGTGCGCTCTGATATCGTTGCCTTCATTTCTAGTGAGGGTCCCCACTGAGATGAGGTGCGTAACTTTTCAGTTGAGATAGCTGTGACGCGACAGTGGACGACATGCACAGAGCTCTTGCCTCCGCAAGCGAAGCGCTTGAATTTCCCTCGACTTCTTTAGAGAAAAAGCCCGAGTACTCCTGGAGGTGATCGGCATGATACAGCGCCGCATCGAACCAGCTGTTCCATCTGGTGACGACTGGAACAGGGGGCAATTTCTCTGGCTTTCCATTGCTCTCGAGGAACTGCTTGAATCTCGCCTTCCGTGAGGGACAAGCCGTGAAAGATCTCTTCACACAACACACCAGTTTGTTGACCTCCTTGAAGCACAGAGCCCACTCCTCACAGACCAAGTTTAGGAGGTGGGCGGTGCAAGTTACGTGGACCCCATTGAGGAAGAATGATTTCAGCGAATCTTTCCACGCTTTGCTCATATAGGTCGCATTGTCGGTCACAAATGCACTTATGCTCAGCGGGGAGATTTCGTATTCGTGGAGGATTCTCAGTATTGCGTCGCTCACCGTCTTGTAATTAGTGCGTTCGAGAACGGCGCATCGCAGGAGAAACGCTTTCAGCTTGGGTTCTGCGACATCCGTGCAGCACGGGATAGCCAAGACGTTCAATACGTACCGATCTTCTGCATCGGTTGTCTCGTCGCAAACTAGCGCGAGAGACCTCGTTTCCTCGAGTAGTTGTTTCAAGTGTTTAACATGAGCTTCGAACGCTCTGGGAAGGTAATTACGGCGTAGATTACAAGCCGACGGAATGATACCACAGTTTTTCACATTCGATTCGAGGAATGATCTCAACTTCGAGTTGTCAAGAGTGTGTAAGGGTATGTTGGCGGCACAGAATGCTTCGACTAGGCTCACAAGCGTCGTTTGTTTCTCGATTCCTCCCTGACTCATCTGGCCGAAAGCTTCCACTAAATTGACCTGGAGTTTCGCTCTTTTTGCCAAGGACTCCTGGTGGCTTCGCTCCTTTTTTTTATGAGTCGCGGTCTCAAGATGCTTCGAGCATGTATCCTTCCGTCTATGATCGACTGCGATATTACAAGAGCTGCAATAGAGACGATCACCTGACGCATGGAACTTTCCATCTGGAAACTCCTCCTGTCGCATTTTCGGTGTCACATGCTGGGATCTTTTGGCTGTGCTTTTCGGAGTGTTCATGGTTCGATGGGTTCCCTCGTTCGACGAAGAATCCATTCCTCTGCGTTCCTTCGTCTGTTTTCGAACGAGCGCAGCATAGCTAGCAAAAGATGGGAGAGATCGCTGTGGACACCGAGTGAGGGCAAGTTTTGATTTCGCGGCGCGCTTGTCAGCATGTGAATGCGCTTCCGCAGCTGATAAGGAAATCTCGTCATCGATGGTCCCATTGGAATCTATCGAATGGGATGCGGGGTCTGTCACGGAAGGATTCACACTGACCATGTTTATCCCGTGAAAAACTCCGAAATTCGCGGAAGGTGGGCATTCCGGCCGAAATCGCGGATTTCATGGCGGATGTGGCGGCCGCCACAACGCCTAGCCCTACTCATA